TTTTGAAATGTTAATTATTGAGAAAAAATATGAAATAAATGAAAATTGTTATGAAAAATATTTGTTATTCAAATGAGCTTTTAATTGTAGGCCTATAAAGGTGTTTAATGCTGCCACAAAAGGCGCAGCGAGAGAATGGAAATAATTAAGGAGGAAGCAACTTCCATGCTTTGGCTAAAAATAAAAAATAAAGGAACGTAAAAATAATCAAAAGAACGAAAAAGTATGGATAAACATTGGTAAATAGGCTTAAAGTTCATAGAAGAAATTAAGATTTAACAAAAAATTATCTGAAAATAAATCTCTCATTTTGTGGCAAATTGAACACTTCGGGCTACTCAGCTCTAGAAAAACAAATTTAAAAAAATATGCAAGAAATTGACTGCAGCTAAACAAGTACTCATTTTGACATTTGCTTATAAACTGCGCTGGTTGTGTACTAGTGGATGTACCACTAGTTGAGAACTAGTTTGAGTGTTATTGGTTGTGAACTAGTCAGTATACTACCACTTGTGAACTATTGCATTTCGTTTTTGATTTTTATTTCCACACCATTTAGTTGATATTCCAGAATATTCCATATGTAATATTATATCTAAGCATTTCTTTGTAAGTTCGATTCTTTTAACCTCCGAAACCTCGCGGCAGATTATACTGAAAATTTGTCAGTTTGCTTCTATGGTTCTTGGAAAGGTTTGTATGAATCACTTTTTCAGGGAAATGTCAAAAGGTCTAACCTTTTAGGAAAAATTTTACTTATGACTCGCGGCTCTTAGGTAGCTTTTCTGCACAGATTATCAGGAGTACCACTCTGGGGAGCAGACCAGTAACCGAAATATTTAAAAAAAAATTATAATTATCTTTATTTGAAATTATTTTTACCGGAAATGAATCCATCTAATTGAAAGAAAAAAAAATATGTATATATTCGTTTCCGTGAAGCTTTTGAATGGCATGCCTAAATGGAATACTTTATATCTTACAACGGAACCAGGAACCCGGAAACGAGTTAAATTCGTTATATAGTAGTATGATTTTGATATAAGCATAGATCGAGTGTTGGTTGTTCGCTACGCTTCATTAATATTTGATGACTTGAATATGAATAATCCTGGATCTGAGCGGCACGTTTGCTTTACTTCGAGGCCTGAATATTGACGATTTCGGTTTTCGAGCAGCGAAGAAGTGGGCTATACATACAAGTAAGAAGTCTGGCCAATATTAAAATTAAACAACTTTCTAGTTTAAATACATAAAAAGCAAATTAAAAATACATAAAACACTTAGACGATTTTGGCTGAGCTTTCCTTGCATTCGCTGTACAACCTATAGGGGTTTGTAGGGAAAAGTGACCTATAGGAATGATTGAATTCAACTAATATTTTTTTATGAGAATCACTAGTGTTGAGACATAAAAAAACCGGCGATTTTTCATACTGATCGTTCTTGGATCAAATCATAACTGGGATGAAAAATAGAATATTTACAATAACGTCAATCGAAAACGATCGTGGTCCATGTACGATGAAGTGCCACAAATCTCTTCAAAGGCACCCTTTTAGCAAAGGCCTAAGGCTCTACATGCGTTGGTTATCCCATTTTGTTTAAGGGTTGCTCTCGTTGTCAGAAAACCCGAAGTGGACTCAAGAGTAGGATCTGAGTATAAATCCGCGACTGTGATTACATCATTTCTATGTACAATTATGCTAAAAAGCAGCAACTTAAGCTCAGCAGACTGAAGCTTTAACTTCACTTTTCATTTTAGAACCAGCTGCTAAGATATACCGAGCTTTTTCTGCTCAACTGATACCTTTGTTTTGGCGCCATTGTTGGCGGCCTGACAGTATAGCTCAACATATATCGAACTGAAATTATCTCATCCTTTAGGTACTAGTTCAATACTAGAATATTGATATAATAACTAGTTTTCCCTTTCACTACAGCTAAGCTTCTTCATTGTGTTATATTTTTATAATCTCTTTATTTTATTTTATTTTTTTTTTTTTGAAAATATTGAAATGCACACAGTTTGCATTGAATTTCATTTTATATCATACCAATTCACCTCAACAATGGATTAATATCCATTAAAAGCAAGAAAAAAGAAATAAAAGATCTTACCTTGTTCTTTTGCTTCCTCTTTCGCTGTTGGTGGTCAGTCACTTGCTTAATACAAATCTTACGAGCTTTCTCAGTCTCACTCTGTCCATTCTTATTTCCATAAAATGTGATTTTATTACCGCTAAATTTAAGAGCGGAAGTTATCAAAGGGGACAAACGATATCAGCTGCTCAGCGGGCGAGCTGACAAAACAAAAACAAAAATTACAAAAAAAAGGAATAATAACAAGGAAGCGCACGAATAGGAAGATCGCTCTTAAAGCTTGCTTATCTGTAAAATAACTGAAGATCTTGGAAAGCAGCAAGATGAAAAAATATAAAAATAAAAATCCCAACCAAATTAAGAGAGGAAATTTAAGCAGGAAGTCAATTGAAATGTGGAATCAAAGGATGTGTGGATTACTTTAACTGAAATCAAACGAGAATTTACACCACAGTATTGAGATTTAGAAACTGGTGTATGGAGAAATTCAAGACAATTCCGATGAGTTGTGTCTTGTCTATGGAATTGATTGAGAAAAAATGGATCAGGTGATCTTTCCTGTGGAAAAGTCCGTGTAGGATTTAACACGAACATAAGATCACCACATCGTGCTGGTAGTAAACTAGTTCATTCGTGGAGGTTTAAATACCCTTTCGGTGGCGTAAGAGGCAATAAAAAACAAGAAAATATACCATGCTTTCATGCCTTTCGTGTAAATACTCCGGTTATTAAATTAAATTTGTTGATTCGCAGGAAATAATAATAAAGTCGAGAATTTAACAGTGAACCTCAAGTCGCTACCGAAAATACTGAGGTGTTACTCGTTATGGAGTAGTACAACCCATTAAAAGTGAATTTTCACACATTGTTCAATATTTTAAGAATGATAAAAGTTATTTCTCCCCTCGTTCCTGGGTGCGAATCCAAGACGCTGTCTAAAAAACACCAGAATTATTTTCCATCTTCTCAGACTGCTGACCAATATGGTTCTTCGATATTGGCATACAGCAGAATACTCAAGAAAATGAGTAACCGAGAAAGCGTCGCCAGTACTACAGGAGGGAGGAAACGCTGACCGATAAAGTTAATGTATAGAATGCAGAAAATGCTCACGTTTGGTTTTCCAAAGGACTACTAATTATAGCTTGGCACTGCGATTATATTCAGACAATTATAATCAAAAATCAATTCGTGATTTTAGTGATTTTCGGCCGAACTTCTTCTCTTATGTGCGGCTCGCGTCCTTGTTGTTCTAACATTCTAATGTCGGTACCTAGTGTTTATTCTAAAAAGGCCCCGAACAGCTAATGATCTCTAAATGAAGAGCTTTTTTACGCTCCCCCGAAGATCGCCGACATTTCCAACTGGATCCGAAGACTTGACCATCAGTAAGGTGTCACGTACTGTCAAGCATTTGCCACTACAAATCAAATATTTATGATCCGACTAAGCTTTCTATGAATTTTCAAGAGCTTTATTTAAAGCCTTAAACTCAGCTCACCTCGTTAATGAACTTGGAAGTGGCGAGCTGTAAACACAAATAATTTTAGAGACAAATTGCTTGCTGTAGCTTCCTAGACACCACAGTGCCGGGTATGCGATCTTATTTTCGATTGCATGCCTGCTCATGCACTGAGTGTACATATGTATGTTCGCAAACTAGCAAGCTCTTTCTTTCCACGCATCTTACCACTCACGATAGTGTGGGGGCGTTTTCTAACAAGCGTATAAAATCTCCGCCTCGAGTCAAATAGAAATGCAATAACAACACTCTATTCAAGCGTTCGCCGTGATGAAGATGCTTAACACTCGTGGCATGCACGCTACAAGGTTGGCAACAAGACTTGGAAGTAACAGTTTTGCAAAAGCAAAATGAAGCTGAAGATATATGAAGGTAAGTAACAGCATAATCAACGTCAGAGTCATCGTTGGCAACAACAACAAGAAGAAGTCAGAAGTAAAGGATTTTGCGTTTAAAAGAGACGTCGTAATGTGCAAGACGGTGTGCAAGTGGTCGAAAGGGCGAGTTTGCAAATAAGGAAATTAATGGTGTTGATTATTCAGAAATATTATTTAATATTTTATTTTGGCTGTGAGCCATTTTATTTATACTTACATGAGTGTTAACTGAATAATCCAAAGGGGGCAAAATTGTTCATGGTTTTTTCATTATCAGACCAACAAAATTACTTGCAAACGTCAATAATTAAAAATACGCAAGTCACCCAAAAGTAACTAGTTGATGACTGGTTCCTTAAAGCATAGGGTCAGTTACAAAAAAAAAATAGTGAACTCTGCAATTAAGAAAAGCAATACAACGTCTTTATCTGTGCGCATTGGAAACTAGTCGGAGACCAGTTGGTGACTAGTTCAGTATAGTAAAGTTTGGTTTTGTAAAAGTTATAAATTTTTTATGTTGGCGAAAGCATCAAAAATCTAATAAAGTTAATACCATTAAAGTAACTCTTAAAAATAAAGCGTGATTTTTAAGAGCTTTATGAAAGTTTTCCAAAAAAAAAAAACACGTAAAATTCAGAAGAATAAATAAAACCTTTATTTGAATCTATTTGAATCGATGCAAATGTCGACCGTTACTGCGCCTCAAATGGTCTATCCGTTTAGTCCAATCTTGACTTGCTCCTTCCATCTTTTCGGCCGGTCTCTCACGAATAAATGCTTCAATGTTTTCCTCCGGGCTTGTCTCTATAGAGATTAGATTTAACAAAGCCTCACAAAAGATAGTCTAAAGGCGTTAAGTCGCACGATCTAGGCGGCGGATTGACCGGTCCTGGACGTGAAATATAATGTTCACCGAACTCGCCTCTCAATAAGTCCATTGTTAAGCGTGCTGTGCTGTGTGGCATGTGGCAACGTCTTGTTGAAACTACATGTCATGCAATTCAAGCTCTTGCGTTACGATTCGCATCATCTTCGAAGAAATACGGCCCAATGATGTCACCAGCCCATAACCCGCATCAAACGAGACAACTGAGAAAATTTTCATACAAACCCATTTTTAACGTACAAAATTCAAGCGGGTCGTCCAAGTAACTAGTTGCCAACTAGTAGTAAAATTGAAAATATTGAATAGATTTCTTAGAATGAATGACTATAAGCAAAAATTTAAAATAATTACCTTCTCACACTTTTCTAATAACATAAAATGCGGGTAGGTTCATTTTCATGGCCTATGGTCTACTAAGCCACTCTGCTTTCCTCTGACGCAATATTTGCTTCTCTTCTTCTATTTCAAAAACGTAAATGGGAGTGCTCCATTTGTGATTTGTTACACCCATTTTGACTCCCACATTTCACCACACATAATGTACCTAATATACTCCAACACTTTAGAAATGCTTACATACGTACATACATACATATATACATAAGTATATGATAAATAAATAAACGAACTGCAGTTGTAAGTTCAAGCACCGCGAGACTTTTATTTTACAAACTACATACATACACACATATATGAATGAATGCATATGGATACGCATAAGCTATATAACAGCATCATTGAAAGCAAGCATACATACATACATATTATATATGTATGAATCTCATATATATACTTATTTCTCTTTGTTTATCTGTAATATTTATAAATGAGTTAAAATGTTTGTGCGAGCACGAAAAAATGCGTTAAACCGTTAACGCTTCGGTCAACTTGCAACAGGCTGTGCTGGAAAGCAAAAAAAAAAAACAAAAACTGTGAAAAAGAAATTGAATGAAGCTGTTGTTGTACTTGGTGATGGAGTTACACTCTCGCAACAGTCGCACAGTTGGATTTCGAAAATCACAGCAACACTACAACCAACCGTCGAACTAACCGAAGTGATAGTAGCAGTTGCAAGTTGCCGGTTGCAGATTGCCCGTTGCCAAGCTACTAAAATGTGATGCTCATTCACAGCAACGGAGTTGAAAATCAGCAGCAGATACATTTCAGCACTCAGCATTCAATGCCCCTGCAGCGTTGGTCAACAAACAAATAAAAGCTTGTGCATATAAGCATGTATTAGGGTGGCACAAAAAAAATATTTAAATAAGTTTCTTTTGGATATTTGTTAGTAAGAGGTTCAAAGAACTATTATTATTTTCAAGCTACTTTCACGAAGCTGACCTGAATTTCAGAAGTTCATCCCAGCTTAACTATATGCAAACTACTTTGTAAGTAATCACTTTCACATAATTTGTGTGCTATTTGTATCATAATTTTCGTTAGTTTGAGCTTAAAAAAGCTTTAATTAAACGTTTCCCTTATATAAAATAATATAATAATTTCTAGTTTCGTTGAATTTCAAAAGATTTCTCAATCACTTTATAACTAGTTAATTTTATTTTGTCAAAATGTATTTTTACAGATTAGGAAATTAGCAAAAAATCTGCTTTTTTAAAACTGCTTGAATTTTTTGAGCTAATGATTAAAAATATAAAAAATTTTTTTGTTAAAATACATAAAATTTTCAAAGTTCTTTCAACTAATAAATATTATATAATTTTAAGGCAAAAAGCAAGTAAAACCCAAACATCTCACCCAAATATTACTAGTTGGCAACAAGTCAATTCATCAAAGTTTTTTCGAGCACAAAAATTTATTTTAAGAACAAAAAGTAAGTAACATTCCAGCAACTATACCAATTTTTACTAGTTGGGAACTAGTTTACAACGATTTTGCGTACTAAAAATTTCAGCAGCATTACCGATTGTTACTAGTTCGAAACTAGTTTAAAAAGTCAGCAAGAAAAATATATAATTCTATTGTAAAGGTCAAACAAATGTAAACTTGCAGTCCCTTTAATATCATAATATAGAAATGATAATAAAATCGAAGAATACAAAAAAATAGTTTTGACTATTAACTTTTTAACCACCCTAATGTAAATGTATATAGGAATGTGGGCTCAAACGCATGCGGAAATATATGCATTTGAATTTGGTTTACTCATTTTGCTGCTGCTGCTGCTGCTGTGACACTATAACAGCAACTACATACATACGTACATAGATCAATAACAATGCTAACTGTGTCGAACGTTACACTTGCTGCGCTCCACATATGCAAATGCCACAACACATGGATACTTATTTACATATATACATACGTGCGGATGGCAACCCATTTTAACGCTGCATCGTCATCAGCAGCTATCAAAACTGTTTTCATTGCTGCAATTGCTGTTGCTGTTGCTGTTGCTATTGCCACAGAGTTGATATCTTTGCGCTGCTCTTTGCCGTTGATGCGATTTGACTGCTGCTGGCGTTGATGCGCATGATTAAGAGGCTGCCGCACATAAACATTTGTACATGTATATACATTATATACCTACATATGTATGTGTGTACAAATTGTATTTTTAATATACTTATGTGCACTTACTCGGCTCTTACACTTTCTTCTTCCTCTTTTTCATGCCACATGCCACGATGGTTTGCTTAAATATTAAATTTTTATTGTTTTCTTTATGTTGTATTTCTTTTCCTCATACTTATGTTGCCTTTCTTTCTCCATCTGCGGACTTTTCTTGTGCTGGGCTTCAAATTTCTGTTGGTTTATTTTAAAATTTAATATTTTTCTCTTTTTTTTTATTAGAATCGCTTTTACAATAACTCATTGGCTTTCAACGGTCAAGTGAATTGTGTTGCTGGCACTCATACTGGCTCCTATGTATGTATATTTTTTAAAAGGTATATGTTTGTATATTAATATGAAGATATTTGTAAATGACTTTGTTGTCATGCACTTTGTTGCATATAAAAATATTTGAGGTCAATGCTTTAGGCCATTGCCATGTCTTCATAAAAAACTTACATACATGCATATGATTGTGTTTCAGAGCCGTATAGGTAAACGGTGTATTTAGCATCTAATTTAATGTATTGTATGTATTGTATGTATTACAATAAATAAATAAAAATTGTTGCTGGCAGAACATTCAATCGACGATATAAATACAAATTTAATTTGCAAAAAATAATGTCAAAAAACTGTAAAAAGTAAAGACTTCACATTTTGAAATAACAAAATTAAAAAAATAACCTAAAACTAAATTAATTCACATCAATCTAAATAATATTAATTAAATTAATTGAAAATAAAATAAAATGAAATAAAATAAAATAAAATAAAATAAAATAAAATAAAATAAAATAAAATAAAATAAAATAAAACAAAATAAAATAAAATAAAATAAAATAAAATAAAATAAAATAAAATAAAATAAAATAAAATAAAATAAAGTAAAATAAAATTAAACAATTGAAATTAAGTAGATTTACATTAAAAGTAGAAGTTAAGTAGATTTACATTAAAAGTAGAAATTAAAAAAAATTAAATTTTATTTAATTCATAAAAAAAATGAAATGTAATTAAGTACAAGATAAGCAAGCAAAATAAAAATAAATAAGTAAAAAAATAAAAGTTTTGATGTTTCTTGACAAACAGAGCGAGCAAAGGCACATCCGAATGGCCGACTAATTTTGATTAGAATATCTTTATTTTAGGTGAAAAGTACACACTTTCATTAGGTCAAGCCCTCTCGAGGGGCTTGCACAATATAAAAGAATATTTAAAAATAATATTTGCTTGCCAATTCGAATCAAATATTTTTGTTCTCTTTCTTTTATCCTCAAATTGTACGCACTTTTCCGCCTTTTGAATATTATCAATTTAATTCAATATTTGTTGTAACTGCCGCAGGATATGCAGCAGTGCATATGCACACATGATGTCATATTGATATTTGTTGTTGTTTTAACAGGAAGCATGACAGATGTTTAACGATAATGATACATAAAAACAAAACAACAAAAGCAAATAAAAACACTACAAAGTGCTTTTGCGTAGGCAATGATGGTGGAACGATGCCACTGCTTGTTGTTATCCTGCGCAGTTGAAAGCGGCATTTGCTGTTGGGCCCTTTGCTTGTCCTCTGTCTTCTGCTTGAAAGGTGTTCCATATGTTTGCCCTTGCATATTTCTTTTCCGCTTATGATCTCCATCCCGATTGTATTTTGCGGTTAATGAACATTTCGTTTTACCTCCGTTATTTTGCCAATATTTATTGCTGTTGTTAAAGGATAATCGGCATAAATGCCCCAAATAAGCAAAAAACGAAAAAAGCATGACATTTCATCATAGCTCGGCGGGAAAACGCTTCAGCGGTTAAAAAGCACCAATTCTGTAAGGCGTCAATCGTCTTGGGCTTATTTGCGTAATCAAGCGACTGCACATAACACACTTAAAATAGTCCAGTGATGTTAAATTTGCCTTAGAGGTCACGTTCCTCGCCACGATTTGAGATATTGTGCTCACCAAAAGTTTCTTTAAATAAGATGAGTGTTTCGCTGGCTGCATGGTATGCAGTCCCGTCTCATTGGAACCAAAGGTTGTACACATCAACCTCCTCCAACTCAGGCACGAGAAAGTTATTAATCGTGACTCTACATCATTCGCTATTCTCTATAACATTATAGCCAGCTTAATTTTTGAAGAAATATGGGCCAATGTTTCCCTCTCCCCATAGAGCACACCAAACCGTGACTTGTCGACTATGTAATGGCGTCTCAATAATGGCTTGTGGATTATCATCACCCCAATTGCGAAAATTTTGTTTATTAACGTAGCTATTCGACCGAAAGTGAGCTTCTTTGATAAACAAAATTTTCTGTGAAAATCTGAATCCGCGGACATCTTGTTTTTGGTCCACTCACCGAATGTACGATGCGCTTGGCAACCGTTCGACAAAATGAATTTTGTAAGACTGCGACCAAGATCCTTCTGCAATTTTCCAGTCGGGTCTATCAGCAGATTAATCATACGAAATTTTGCAGCAAAATAGATAAATAAAATGATTTCGTTTTCAGGAGAATTATTTTTCATGTTGCTAAATTAGTCTCGCTCTTCGTGAGACATGTGTACCAACGGGTAGTCCGGTTCACTCATTTTCAGATGGCGCTTCTTTGATTTCTAGAGTGAGTCAGCCCCTGTATTAAAACTCGCACTTCAATTCTACACTTTCTACATAAACACCGGCTCCAATCAGAGAAATTTAAGTAACAATTCGGTTGTATTTTCCAGGGAAATTCATTGCCCTCACAGATTTAATATGTAAATATCTATGTTATGCTGTATTTCCTTCACCTACACCAAAAACAAATATTCCAACTCACCATCGAAGCTTTAACGGCAAATTAACACACACAACTACTGCTAGCTACGCTACTATTTCTGGGAGAAAACAAATATGAATTAAATCAAATTGAGATCCAGACAAAGGCAAACAGAAAAATATTCAACAAAAAGAGCAAAAAAATAAAAATAAAAT